TAAAAATAAGATCAGCGCCATTGGAGGAATGGGTCCTACATACAGTGCACCTGGAATGTAAAAGTCAGGATACAGGAGCTTGGGTAGGTGAAGCTATTTCTACAGGCTTGAGGAGGCACCAGGATGCCAAATACCCTACCTGTGATGATATAGAGGCCTGGGTAGGGAAGGCAATCTCTAAGAATTTTAATAGGCATAAAGATACAACATGCTTTAACTGTGGTAGAATAGGACATCTTAGTAGGAACTGTAGACAACGCGTTCCTAGAAATAATGCTTTTACCAGGAATGCATCAAACAGAAGGCCTAAGCCTCCTGGTCTATGCAGGAGGTGTGGGAAGGGGCGCCATTGGACTGATGAATGCTTTTCCACAATAGACAGACAAGGTAGATCTTTAAAGCCAAAAAACGGAATTCAGGGGCTCAACCGAGCCCCGAAAAGAGAAATTATCCGGTCATTCCCAGTGACAGTGGAGGACAGCCTCTCCCAGGACAATTAGAAGATCCACTGCCCATTGTAAATAATACGGCACTGGATAATACATTAGCTCCAGAGGATGAATCAATTACATCAGGAGGAGATACAAAACATATATTTTGGCAAACTTCTATACAATATCATAGACCCAAACTTCCAGTTAAGGTAAATAATAGGGTAATTTACGGTCTTTTAGACACAGGTAGTGACGTCACTATCCTTAATCAGCAGTCCTGGCCACATACCTAGGCTTTAAAAGAGGCTAATGTTCAATTCTTAGGGATTGGAACCCTATCTGAAGTTAAACAGAGCGTTAGATGGATTGACTTTATTGGGCCAGAAGGACAGAGAGGAAGGTTAAAGCCATATGTTGCAGATATTCCTATAAACCTCTGGGGTCGTGATCTACTCCAGCAATGGAATACGCAGATTAAAATTCCTCCTGTATCAGCTAGGAATTATAGACAAGCTCTTAGTGGTAGAAAGAATATAGTAAGACAGTCCAGAAAACAGATCCCAAATGTACAGGCTGTACAGAAGCAAGATGCTAGTGCCAAACCTACAGAGCAACCAAAAGCTCTACCATTAAAATGGCTGACAGATGAACCCGTCTGGGTGGGTCAATGGCCTATGACATCTGAGAAGTTAGAGGCTTTGGAGAAGTTAGTGCAGGAACAGCTAGATGCTGGACATATTGAGGAATCAACTAGTGCATGGAATTCACCTGTTTTTGTTGTCAAGAAGAAGTCTGGTAAGTGGAGAATGGTTACTGATCTTAGAGCCATCAACAAGGTAATTCAGCCTATGGGGTCTCTACAACCTGGGATGCCGTTACCTTCTCTAATTCCTAAGGATTGGCCAATTATAGTTATAGACTTAAAAGATTGTTGCTTCACCATACTGTTACAAAAAACGACAGAGAAAAGTTTGCCTTCACAGTACCGACCTATAATAATTCCCGTCCGGTACAGTGGAAGGTACTACCTCAAGGTATGTTAAACAGTCCAACTTTGTGTCAATATTTTGTGAATAAACCTCTAGAAATAATTCGTAAAAAATTTCCACATTCGTTAATATATCATTATATGGATGACATATTATTGTCTGATTCAAATAAGGATACTTTGGAAAAGATGTTTGAGGCAGTAAAGGAAATTTTGCCTTGCTGGGGATTACAAATTGCCCCAGAAAAAATACAAAGAGGAGATTCTATTAACTATTTAGGTTATAAAATAGATGCTCAGAAAATTAGACCACAGAAAGTACAGATCAGAAGAGATCGTTACCGGACTCTTAATGATCTTCAAAAACTATTAGGAGAAATCTCTCAATTACAGACGATTATTGGTGTAGAAGGGCATGATTTAAAACACCTGAAAATGGCTTTAAAAGGAGATAAAGACCTAAACAGCCCACGAGTACTATCAGCTGAGGCTGAAAAAGAATTAGAATGGGTAGAAAAGAGAATATTAGAAGCACATGTGGACCGTGTGGATCCAAATCTGGACTGTATTCTGGTTATTTTACTATCTAGAGAATACCCCTCAGGAATATTAATGCAGAGGGAAGACGTCATTCTAGAATGGGTATTTCTGCCACATAAACAGAATAAAAAATTGAAAACCTATATAGAAAAGGTCTCAGATTTGATATTAAAAGGTAAATTAAGGCTTCGTCAACTGACTGGGAAAGACCCAGCTGAAATTATTGTACCTTTAACGAATGAGGAAATTTCCTCCTTATGGAAGGATAATGAGTATTGGCAAATAGCTTGCAGTGACTTTTTGGGAAGTATTAGTAATAACTATCCCAAAACAGAGAGAATCAAATTCATAAAGAAAACAATTTGGATTCTTCCACGTATCGTGAGGCAAACACCTGTTTCTGGAGTTCTTACCTTCTACACAGATGCAAACAAATCAGGTAAGGCAGGGTATAAATCAGGAAATATAAGTAAAGTAGTTCAAAGCCCTTACAACTCCGTACAAAAGGCAGAGTTATATGCCATTCTCATGGTACTTAAAGACTTTACAGAGCCTCTCAATATAGTCACAGATTCTCAGTATGCAGAAAGAGTTGTCTTGCACATTGAGACTGCAGAATTTGTTCCTGATAATACAGAATTAACCTCATTGTTTTTACAATTGCAGGAAATCATCAGACACAGGACTCATCCTATATATATATAACACACATCAGATCCCATACAGGTCTGCCAGGTCCTCTGGCACAAGGCAATGATGAAATTGATTGTTTATTAGTAGGTAATGTGTTGGAAGCTTCAGAATTTCATAAGAAACACCATGTTAACAGCAAAGGTTTAAAAAAGGATTTTTTTATCACCTGGCAACAAGCCAAAGAAATAGTAAGAAATTGTCCCAGTTGCTCATTGTACAATCAAACTCCATTACCAGCAGGTTGTAATCCTAAAGGTGTTCACAGAAATGAACTTTTGCAAATGGATGTATTTCACTTCCCAGAATTTGGCAGTTTGAAATATGTACACCATACTATAGACACGTACTCAGGCTTCCAATGGGCTACTGCCCTCAGCTCTGAAAAAGCTGACTCTGTTATTACACACCTCTTAGAGGTGATGGCTGTTATGGGTATACCTAAAACAATAAAAACTGACAATGGTCCAGCATATGTCTCCAGTAAATTGGAACAATTCTTCAAATATTATAATATAAAACATGTAACTGGTATACCTTACAATCCCACAGGACAAGCAATAATTGAAAGATCTAACCGAACCTTAAAAGAGATGCTTCATAAACAGCCAGGGAAAACAAAGACACCTAAACACAGGTTACACAATGCTTTACTAACGTTGAATTTTCTTAATGCTGATGAAAAAGGACAAACTGCAGCAGAAAGACACTGGACTACAGAGAAGACTTCTGAACTGAACCAACCGGTGTATTTTAAGGATGTTATGACCTCAGTCTGGAAACCAGGATATGTGTTACGTTGGGGAAGGGGTTATGCTTTTGTTTCCACAGGAGAAGAAAAGGTTTGGCTTCCATCAAAATTAATTAAAATTCGATCAGAACAGAAAACATCTCAGGAGGAGGAAGATAACAGCCCATCTACAAATTCATAGTCCACCATGGGTAAAGTGACCTCCTAAAAGGAAAGAGAAGTGTTTTGTTTTTTGTCTTCACAGGTAAACTCAGCAAAGAATACTGGATATATGGATTCCTGTAGAAGAATGAATAGCTACCCTGAGGACCATCCAACAAACAGTAACTCACTGTGTGGTATCAAAGTCTAAATCTCTCTATATTGTTTTTTCATAGTACCCTTTTATCTTTATTTCTTCACATACCTCAGTTCCCATTCATTTAACTGAAGCTGGCTTTGGAGTTGGATTGGCTCTCCTACTCTAAACTCAAGCATATTATTTAAATACGATTCAGAATTTCTGTATTATATCAAAGAGCCATTGATATAAGACAGAAGAAATAAAATGAGGGACTGTTATCTGTGGATTTCTTTTTCTGAACAGTCTAATTTCCTCCAGGTTTTCCATCTTCCCTATTGTCACCTCTTCCGGTATGCATACATATGAAAGTTAAAATATTTCTTTGTTAACATTAATGTTTGAGTTTTCCAGAGAACAAGGGATTTCCTGACAGCAATCTTCAACTGCTTCCGAAGGAGAATGAGGATCCACTTCCTTGACTTCACCTGATTCGACTGGAGGCATCTGAACTGCCCCACATCATTGACTCCACCTGACAAGCACTATCCTGAAACTGGCTTGAAACTACATCACTCTACACAACTCCGGACCAAGAAACTGAAACAGCACATCTTCTGCGATCTGGCCAGAGCTTCAAGATAAGAGCTTCAATCAACACTAGAACCCCAGTCAGGAACTTCAATCAAGCATCTCCTGCCATATTGAGACTGTCTGATCTACTGAGATTTTGTTATACTAACATTTTCTTTTCACAGGTCCCCATGAGATTATCATCATCCCATCTCAGCAGGAAGTAGTTTTGAGAATTCTACGCCCCCTCTCCCTACTATTGATATAAGATAGTTTACACCTGTTAGTGCTAGGTTTCAATTATTTTAGAGTTGGGATTGGAAGGAGGTGTTCATATTTGAGTGTTTCTTTCAGATGAGTTTAGGTTTAGATAGAATAGATGTTTGATACATTTTGTTCATGGACACAAGTTAGTTGTCTTTTTTAGACTAAAAGGGGAATTGTAGGAGGAAGTCTATGCTGCCATTAAACATGTGACTTACTAAGTCTATGCCGCCATTAAACATGTGACTTATTAGAGGCGCATACAGATGAGGTAATAAAAGGGCGGTTTACCACACTGCTAACCACACCCACTTTAGGCAGGACTAAAGATGTATACGGCTGGACGTAAAGACGTATACGTACGTAGGCAGAACTACGTCACTAGCCAGGCCCACTTCTGGGCATGGCTAGGGGGCGTTACGGGGGAAGGTATAAAAGACAGCACACAGGAAGTCTCGCTCTCTTTTCCTGGAGTTCGGCTTCCGGTCCGGCCGCTAGCTGAGAACTAGCTCCTCTGGGTTTGGTACCTTGTGAGTAATTTTCTATATTAAATACTTAGCTTTACTTTCAGTAATTGTGTGTTGCATATCGTTACAGCGTCCGTTGAAGCCAACTTAGGTCTTGGGGTCCACCTAGTTTTCTTCAAAAGAACACGATTCAGTGGTCCTCCACTGAGAACACTGTCAGTCTTCCCAGGGGCATTCGACAATGTCTAGAGACAGTTTTGCTTGTTGAGAATGGTGTTGGGGGCAATTGGAGGTCAGCTGGGGTCAGGGATGCTTCTGTCCTCTTCCGGGCAGAGATCGTCCAGTGCCCAGGGAAAATCACAACACACAACTGCCTGTCCTCAAAAGTCAATAATATAGAGGATGAGAAACCCAGATCTGTTGGGTACCCTTAGGTGACTACAGAAGTTACTGTGGGATGGAGGTACCCCCCAGGGAGACAGCAAGTAACAGTGATTACTTATTGTTCTTTGTGTCCCAGGCACTGGACACAGCACAGTCTCTTTTTAATCAGTAGACTTCAAGTTTCGAAACAGTTTTACGATTACAGAAGATCAAGGTGAAAAGTAGAAAGTTCTCATGCTCCTCTCCCACCCCCAGGTCGGCCATGACAGCTCCCAACACCAATAGGGCACATTGTGACAGCTGAAAAGGAAACAGTGACACACTATTTTCAAGTTTACACCAGTTTACATTGGTGTTTAGGGTTTGTGTTTCTTAATTCTATGAGTGTCCATCATTGTAGAACCTCAAACAATGGCTTCATTACCTTCTAAATCCTCTGCTCTAGCTATACCCATTTTCATTTTTCCTTCTCCTCTCCATCCTTGGCATCGAACCATCTTGTTAACCTCTCCATAGTTCAATCTCTTCGTCATGCACAAAAACTTCTTAAGTTGGATTCTTTGACATGACGCTATGCATGCTTTTAAGCTCCTTCTATCGAGCTTTCTTATCTTGATATCTCATTTACTATTAGCACCAACACTCTAGTAGGCACATGCTGCAGTCTGTTTAGCTGTTTGTTCATCCATGAAAGGACACTTTGATTGCCTCCAAGTTTCAGCAACTGTGAATAAAACTGCTATACAACTTGTGTGCAGATTTGTGGGTAGATATAAGTTTACAGGTCACTTGGAGAATAGCAAGACATGTGATGACTGATTCGATGACAAGAGTATGTTCAGCTCTGCTAGCAGCAGATGCCACACGGACTTCCAGGGAACTTTTGCACTGGGATTAAAGGCGTGTGCTACACCGCCTGGCAAAATTTACTTTTAATTTTAAAAATGTGTGTGTATGTGTGTGTGTGTGTGTGTGTGAGAGAGAGAGAGAGAGAGAGAGAGAGAGAGAGAGAGAGAGAGACAGAGAGAGAGAGAGAGAGAGAGAGAGAGAGAGAGAGAGAGAGAGAGAGAGAGAGAGAGAGAGATACCTGCAGAGGTGTCAGATCTCCTGGAGCTGCAGTCACCTGACTTGGTTACTGGAAACTGAACCAATCTTTTATTGGATAAGTGTCTTGTAAGGCCTTGTCCCCACTTATAAATTTTCTTTTTATTCTTATCACAGCATTTTTTATAGAGTAACAGATTTTAAGTTTAACAATGCCCAGCTTGTTAGCATTTTCTCTTAAGGATTGCACTGTTTCTGTGATACATACTATGGCCAAACTGAAGATCTGTGCGATTTTTTTTCTCTTATGTTTTCCTGCAGGATTTTAATAGTTCCATGTTTAACAGTTAGGTCTACGATCTGTCTTTTTGACAAGTGAAAGCTCTCCACTTACATTCGGTTCATATATTACATAATATAAATCTAATAATAGAAGGAATAACAAAATAGTATCAGTCACTCTAGAAAAGAAGCTGACATATAATTCTCTTCAGAAGAGATGCAGTTTATTAGGAGAAAGAACCTAGAGGTGATGATGAGGCTTCCAGGTGGGAGGGAGAACATTAGACAGAAACAATATGCTACACAGAGATGATCTAAATATGGTGTGTCCTTAGAGAAGCTTCCACTAAAACCTGGAGAGAAGCTTCATTGAGAGTGAGAGAAGGGGGGAGGGAGAGGGAGAGAGGGAGGGAAAGAGGGAGAGGGGGAGGGAGGGGACAGAGAGAGAGAAAGAGAGAGAGAGAGAGAGAGAGAGAGAGAGAGAGAATAGATCCTTTTCAGAAGAAGTCTCAGCTGGGCAGTGGTGGTGCACGCCTTTAATCTAGCACTCAGGAGGCAGAGGCAGGTGGATCTCTGTGAGTTTAAATCCAGCCTGGTCTACAAAGTGAGTTCCAGGACAGCCAGGGCTGTTACACAGAGAACCCCTGTCTGGAAAAACAAAACAAAACAACAACAAAAGAAGCAGCCTTATGCATTCTTCACTTTACAAAGGCTTTTATAAATCCAAGAGGGTGGGGTGGGGTGGGGTGGATGGGGCGGGTGAGGTGGAACGCTTCACACTCTGTGACTTAGTGTGACACAGTAGACATGACGAACAACCAAATAAGAGGCAAGAATCATAGATAGAGAGCTGTCGCATTACAGCACAGACTGCTTCTTAGTCCTCTGTCCTAGACAGAGCTGCAGGGATGTGTGCCCGATTCTTCCAGGCTGTGGGAACTGGATTGAAGATGCAGACTAGTGTTCTAACAATCAACACTATTTTTAATCCTTTTAAGTGCGATTGCATATGTCTACTTTTGTCTTGAAGGATTGGAGGCTTGGAAAAGGAAAGTTATCATGTCTAATTTAACTTTATCCTGAGTGATAAAATAAGATTAGAATTTTGGTATGTTTTAGGTCTTATTCTGAAAGCTATAGTTTTTCTCAAAACACTGAATCAATTTGCTGTATTTTGTTTTCAAATTAAAGGGAAGATAATTTGGGGAAAGATTTCATACTTCATTTTCTGCTTTAAAAATTTGTGTTGCTAGACTCACTGACATTCAGCAGCCCAAGTTACCTGGAAGCTGACAGGAGGATCTCTTAGACTTTAGGAGTTTGAGGTTAGCTTGAACAGTGTAGCAAGACCCTTTCTCCAAAATAGAAATAAATTAAGTAAACTATAGACAGAGTTTTTCTGTCATGACTGCCTGTTTCCAAATATCTAAATCAAGAGGCTGAACATGAATTATAAATTATAAAAACTTAGGCTTATTACTGACTAGCTCTTACATTTTAAGTTAACCCATATTCCTTATTTATACTCTGCCATGTGGTGACACCTTTATTAGCACGGCATGTTCATCTCCTGCTTCCTCTGCATCTGGCTAGTGACTCCTGACTCAGCCCTTCCTCATCCCATCATTCTCAGCTTGGCTTTCCCACCTAAATTTATCCTGTTTAGCTATTGGCCAGTCAGCTTGTTTATTAACCAGTCATAGAGGCATATATTCACACAGTGCCAAAGAATATTCCACAGCATTAACCCCATGGTCATTTCTGGACAACATGCTCTTTAAATCATAGCCCATGAAGACCCACCCCTTCCTGAGGAGCTCCATTGACAATGTTAATGGTTACTGAAGGAGGAGATGTCATTTTCTTTGATGATGTGGGAAGAAAACTCTGTGTGTGTGTGTGTGTGTGTGTGTGTGTGTGTGTGTGTGTGTGTATGTGTGTGTGTAGAAGATCCTACTGGTACAGTAAGCTGCCATGTTTGCATTTACACAAGTGAAAGGGAGCCCGTAATGACAAGTGGTGATCCTAGAAAACGTCAGAAATGTTAATAACAAAGAAATATCAAATTAGGACACTTACTAAAGCCTGGAGGTAGGGAACTCTACCCGACAACAAAATAGAACACATCATGTTCTTCCTTGCTTTGAGGTCCATAATTCTTAGAGGACGGCCATTTCTTCGTATCCTGATTGACTGGTGACGGAAAGACAACTAGGACAATTCTTACAGTCTACTCTCTGGGTAGAAAGAAGAGTAACAATGTGGACCCTATCAAAGCGCCCCCCCCACCAGACATAGGTGACTAGGGTCATGTTATTGGGCTACCTTAAAATATTCCAGACTTCCAGAATAGAGGCTTTCAAGAGAACAGCAACTGGCAGAAAATTGTTGAATGCCACCTGTGTGTGGTGGTTCATCCCTTTAGTCCCAGAGTTAGGGAGGCAGAAGCCGGTGGATCTCTTGAGTTCAAGATCAGCTTGGTCTACCTAGTGAGTTCCAAGTGACACTGAGCAGAGAGATTAAAAGAGCCAGAGGTCAGGGAGGAACAAGGCCAAACAGAATCTTCCAGACATAACAAAACTCCTGCATTCAGGAACTCAGCAGCAGTGGTTGCCTACACAAGACCTTCACAAGATCAAGACAATCAGTATCCTAGTATGGAGTTGGGAGAAACTCATGAATCTCAATCCCTAGCCAAGGACTTATTGACAATTGATGACTTCTTAGGGAGGGAGAGTCAGTTTTTTTTTTAAAGAGTGTGGTCCAGAGCAGGTTGACCATACTTTAGTGGATAACTCCATACCCATAAATATGTGAGCAGAACAAATTGGAATCTGTGAATTATATTTTTTAGAGGATACAAAGTTGAGAGGGAGTTAGGGTAAGGCATAAATCTGGAATGAGTTGAAGGAGGGAGAAGGCTGAATAGGATTAAAATGCATTGTAATGCATGCTAATTTATAATAAATATATTAACAAAATATATTTTAACAAATGTCTGTCTTGGGTTCTTTTTTGTTGTTGTTGTTTTTGAGACAGGGTTTCTCTGTGGCTTTGAAGGCTGTCCTGGAACTAGCTCTTGTAGACCAGGCTGGTCTCGAACTCACAGAGATCCACCTGCCTCTGCCTCCCAAGTGCTGGGATTAAAGGCATGTGCCACCATTGTAGTCTGAGTTGTCTTTAAATAAAAAAATGAATGGACAGAAAGCATGACTTGAGGATTCTCTGCAATGAAGAAAAATATTGAAAATCAACTCAAGATTCCCTGGGTCAACAGATGGAAGAACAACAGAGAAGGACATAGGCTTCTTCCATGTGGCCTACTGAAATTTAGATCTTGTTTAAAAGGCATCTCTGACTTATATGCAGACACATATCTCTGAGAAATTAAAATCTGTTGTTCAAACTTCAAAATAAAAATGAGAACAAATGTCTGTCTTAAGGACCTCTAAAATATAAGAGGTCCTTCAAGTTATCTCTTGCCCAGCTTCATCCTGTGTGTAAAACTAGCCGTACAATGCCTGCTTAGTCCCGTCCCTTGCAGGGACCGCCAAGTCTGTTCCTTGACGGTTATCAGCATATTCTCCAAATATTATATATATAATTCAAAGACAACTAGAATTGCCACAGAGACTCAAGGGAAGAAGCTCCATCAGTGGAATGGACAGTGCTGCTTTACAAAAAGAGGAACTCCTGTCAGCCTTCTCAAACCCTGGCACATTCATTTAGTAGTCACTTAATCTGGTGAATCTTTAAACCCTGCACTGGTGCCTACCGGGAAACAAACCAAGAACAAGGGAGAGGAGCTGGAGACACAGCTCAATGTATCGAATGACTGTCTACTAAGAATGAAGCCCTGGGTTCGGCTCCCAATATCACATACCGCAGGCATGGCAATGCAGGTTTGTAATCCTTGCACTCAAGAGGTGGAAGCAAATGATTGGAAATCCAAGGGCATCCTCATCTACACAATGAGCGAGGAGAGCTGCCCTATATGAGATCCTATGGGGGAGAGGAAAGGAGAGGGAAAGGGAGAGAAGAGCGTGCTGAGGGAATTGATGTGGATTGTCACATTATACACCGCAGCTGGTTTTCTGATTGCGTACGGGCATTCTCAATACTCATTAGGAGACACTTCCAAAAATGTGCTCACAATCATTTCCCCTGGGATATGTGCATACCTCTTCATATTCCCTCAGGCAGTTCATAATATTCAGTGTTCACAGCATCAGCAGTTCTCAGTGTTACTGAGTTATTTAGAATACAAATGACCTTTTACTGAACCAGCGAGGTCTTGACTGGACCATTTTAAATTCAGTGTGAAACCAAACTCTTGCATATAGCAAAGGAGGGGAAAGCAATGAAAGGGGGATGTTGCCAAGTAGAAGGGTTTCTTAAAATCTCGGGACACAACAGTATGCCTCCTGGGAAACAACTCACCTTCCAACTCCTGCTAAGCAAGGTATGGGAGTTGGCTGGGGCAAGCATCAGGACTCAGGTGTAGGCGGAGTCTACTCAGGTGATGCTTTGGGGGGTCAATCATGACATTCCTGAAGGTAACACATCTTCCATGGAGAGACGAAACTTCTGGTTTTACTGAGAAACACGAGAGTGCCTTTTGGGTATGTTTCAGATGGATTTCAAAGAGTCTGGGTGATGACAGACTTAGAAGTGATCCAGGCTGTGGCAGACTGACAAAAAAAAATTGATGCTGTGCCCTCCCGGCCTGCCCAGAAAGATTCTCTGAAGAGGAAATAAATTCAAATGAGAATTGCCACCAGGGAAGAAGGGCAGGATGGAGACAATTTGGCCAATTTGGCTCTGCATTCATTCTTGTTTCCCTCCCATCTTCCATGCTGGTCCTCTTGCGGGGGTGGGGGTGGGGGTGGGGGCTGTGCGGTAGCAGGAAGGTGTTTCCCCAGCACACTTGTGTGTGTGTGTCTGTGTGTGTGTGTGTGTGTGTGTGTGTGTGTCTGTGTGTGTTTGGTGGGGAGTACCAAAAGCAGCTTCAGCCATCAATCCTCACTTTCATTCACGTCTCAAAGCCACTTGTTTTTTGTGCTTGACTCGGTGGGATGGCAGTTGCTTTCTGCAGGAAGCCAGGTGAGCCCGGGCAAGCTCAGAGCGGCTGGCTCTATAAATGTGTAGGGTGCTTCACCTGCAGCAGGCCAAGGGTGGCCCCTCTAGACTGCACAATGTAGGTTCTTTCACTTTAGTTTCCTTCCGTCAGTCACCATCTCCCCAAGAGCCACGGGAAGTTTGCACTTAATCTGGAAGATGCATCAGGCAGAAGGGGAATCTGATGTAAACACAATATGCTTGCCCTGTGGAATTCACATGGTCAAGTCCAGGCTATAAAAAACTGACTAGTGGGAAGGCGAAAGCCCAGAGCATAGTGGGCGATCGCAAGCCAGCCAGAGGGTCATCAGTGCTTTCTAGTGTGCAGCAAGTATAAGGGTCACTCCTTAAGAATGAACAAACAATTAGGGCATGGTGGTGTGTGCCTTTAATCTCAACACTCTGGAGGCAGAGGTAGGTAGATCTCTGGGTTTGAGGCCAGCCTGGTATAAAAAGTGAGTTCTAGGACGGCCAGGGCTGATACACTGAGAAACCCTGTCTTGCAACACCAAAAGAGAAAGAGAGAGAGAGAGAGAGAGAGAGAGAGAGAGAGAGAGAGAGAGAGAGAGAGAGAGAGAGAGAGGGAAAGGACAAAGAGAACAAGACACCAGAAAACCAACCAACAAACAAATTTTTGTTACTTGCTAGAAAATCAAATGGCAGTGGAAAACTCCCTGCTGTTAAAAAGATTAAGATGATTATGGAGAGTCACCAAATAATCTGCTCACAGCTGCAGCAGGAGAAACTGAAACTAGTGGATACTTGAAACCATGTCTCCTCCTCCTCCTCCTCCTCTTCCTCCTTCTCCTCCTCCTTTTTTTTTCTGAGACAAGGTTTCTCTGTGTAGCCCTGGCTTTCCTGGAACTTGTTCTGTAGACCAGGCTGGCCTTGACTTTGAAGATGTGCCTGCCTCTGCCTCCTGAGTACTGGGATTAAAGGCATTTAAAAATAGGACAAGAGGTGTTTGCAGGTCTCATTAAGGTGTGTTACTGTCCCTCATCACTGGTCCAGCTCCATACCTCCTGCAATGTGACCTGACTCTGAGACATGACAGTTACAGACCGTGAGAGCCACAGCTTAGAGAAGCGACCCTTCTGCTGGCTCAGGGCTTCAGCTTTTTTCCTTCTCCCAATATGAGATTCCTGGGGAAATTAAAATTTGGGAGTGGGGGTCCGTTGTCTCAATAGGCTGATAGCTAAAGGGAGGGGCACGATGGTCTCTTGAGAATATCTTCATGCCTGTCAGGATGGGTACAGCATGGGTGCTATAAGAAAATGTTTCTTATATATAGGAGTGTGCTGACCTTATTTTGGTTGGTGGAAATCCCTCAGGTTTTCTTCCTACCAAAGTAATATGCTTTAGAAATTGTGCCTGAAAGTATCAAGAGACAGAGAAGCAAAGAAGGGGGTTTAGCCAAACAGGGATGAGTCTGTGGCAAAGGTTCCCATCGTCACAGTCAGGACTTCACTCTGTGCTCTTCCCATCAGGCAGGGTGAGCAGGGAGGCGCTTTCCCACACTTCCCTGTACCCGAGACTGGAGACCTGACTCTTTTCTATCCTTGTGGCCTTAAGAAGATCGCAGCGGGAACTTTTCGGGAAGTTCATCTGCTTTCTCATTGAAAAGGTAGGAACTTTCCCTTGCCCTCGATTCCTGGCTGAGATGCTGAATTAAGGACCAAGTCTTCCAACCATGAAACAAAAGCACGAGAACAAAACCACCCTGAGTTTGGCGCAGCACAAAAGGGGATGTGGCTTAGGAACCACCTAATAGACTTGGAAGTAAGTGCCTGTCTCCAGACTACCTTGTGAACACCTCAGTTAAGCCTTCCTGTTTACCCCCAGTAAAGCGTCTTAAATCAGGTAGAAGATTTAAGAAAACTCTCAGCTTGTGGTTAGGGAGATGGCTCGGCCATTAAAAGCATGGCTGTTCTTTTGGAAGACCTGGGTTTGATTCTCATCACCTAAGATGCATCCCACAACTGTCCCTAACTCTAGTCCCAGGGGACCGGGCGCCCTCTTCTGGCCTCGTTGGGTACCAGGCAGGCACCTGATTCATAGACATACATACAGACAGAAACACACACACAAGAAAAGGGAAAGAAGCTGGGCGGTGGTGGCTCACACCTTTAATCCCAGCACTTGGGAGGCAGAGGCAGGAGGATCTCTGTGAGTTCGAGACTAGCCTGGTCTATAAGAGCTAGTTCCAGGACAGCCTCCAAAGCCATAGGGAAACCCTGTCTCGGGAAAGAAAGAAAGAAAGAAAGAAAGAAAGAAAGAAAGAAAGAAAGAAAGAAAGAAAGAAAGAAAGAAAGAAAGGGGAAAGAAAGTTGCCAACTGGCAGAAGCAAGATTTGTGTCCTTGATTTTGCTCCTAAATATACACCTTCCCTATTAAGACTGGAATTATGGTAGGTGAAATTCTAGGAAAGATACATAAAATATGTTAATTGTGCATCAAAGACAATAAGCAACGGCTTTCATCTTTAATTTGAGAATGTGTAAACATACCTGAAGAGTTGAGGAAGGATTTGGGTAGAAAGACAAGTAGGTCTGTGGGTAAAGGCACCTCCCATATTAAGTCAGTCTTCTTGGAGAGTTGTGGATTGCATAAGCCTGTCTTTGAGACCCCTTGGCATGTAAGAGTAGGGGCATTTGAAGGAGTGTGGCTTCACATACTTTCTCATCTTTCTCTGTGAGGTAAGCCCAGGCATTGGTGTTCTGTAGTAAAGCTCCCTTTTCCTGTTGTTCCGGGCCCTGCTCAAACCTCTTTCTCTCCTGTTGAGTGTTCACATTTGTATGGAAGGCGCCTTGCCTGCCACTCCTGGGGTGAGCCATTGTCCTTCCCCTCCGGGTGCCTGTCTATCTCTACCTAGCTTTCCTCACATTCTTCCCTCCTGATTTCTGCCTCTGCCTTCCCCATCCTCCCATGTTCCTTCCCTTTCCTTAACATTCTGTAAAGGAATGAGAGGTAGGGCCCTGTGAATTGCACCTGTAGAGACACCTGTGATTTATCAAGCGGAGAGCTCAGTGGAGATGCTCATACCACACACCACGAGGGGCCCCTACACCATCTCATTTTCATACAACAGCAGGATGTGTCCTATTTGAAAACCAAGTTACCACGAGAGAGAGGAGAGTCACTCCGGCTTCATGGCTCTCCTTTCTCCCGTCTGAGCCCTTTCCCTCTCTGTCTCCTTTTTCTTTGGAGAAGCCATTTTAACGATCAGCAGTACTGGACAGGAGAGTCCACATGAGTGTGTTCATGTGCGGGGTGAAACCCGAGACAAATTATACCTGTGGCAGGGCTCAGATATTCTAGATCAAACGTTTTCAATATAAGATTGACTGTTGAAGTAGTGCGAATTAAACTGGGGTTGGGGATATAAGGAAACCCCCACTCAACTGAGAATGGTAAAATGAAGCAGAAAAAAAATCTCCACATGAGGGTACTAGGACTTCCCAAAAGGGTAACAGGGGGCTGAGATGACATGTGTAGGCGCTGCCCACGTTCAGGGGTATGCCCCAAGTTAAAACTGTTTCCAAAAACCCCTATGTGACCACAGGCGGCTCAGAGCCTGCCACGCTTATATTTAGAAACAAAGCAATAAATACACGAAGGAATTCCATCAGATAGAATGAGATTAAAGCAAACAGCTTCTCTCCACTCTGCGAGGAAAACTAAAACCGTGTGTACCTCATCATCATGTTTGAAAAGTGCACGAAGAATACACACACACACACACACACACACACACACACACACACACACGCGCGCGCGCGCACACACACACTCTCTCTCTCTCTCTCTCTTTAAACAACTCAGTGGGAGCAATGATTTCTATGGTGGGTAATTTTGCAAAGTTTTCCTAGGTAGTTTTAGTGAAAATTTTAGGAAGTTTTGGGTTCCATTTAATGATTCAACCTTAAAGTAGTGTGTGTGTGTGTGTGTGTGTCTGCACAAGTGAATGAGCTTGCTTGTTTGCAGGTTGGTATGCATGTCTGGGCATGTGCAGGAGAGAAGGACTGAGGTAGGGGAAGAGTATGATTACAGAATGGATCATGGATCGGGCACGCAGTTGCTGGAGCTCCATATCAGAACAAAACTTCTAGAAAACAGTCGGTCAATATTCCAGAGTTTTATGCTCTGTGTCTGAAAACTTACTTGGAGAAAAATCATCCTAGAATGACAAAGAATCATAACCTTATAATAGGAAAAAAGATACATAGATACATAGGTATTTCACCATTAGGTTACGTCAATGACTACAAAGTATGAGTGCATTTGTATGCGAATGTGCTTATTACTGAATAAAATCTGAATGAATGTAACATCAAAGGGCTTATGATGGTTATTCTCCTGAAAGCAAAATCCTTGAACTTGAAAATAGCACATTTGGATTGCAATGGTGTCTGAATTCATTAACTTGAGGGATGGAATTATTAGTATTTTAATTCTTTGTTGTTGTTATATCATTTTTTTCTAATTTTTTTGTAATACCACAATGGGGAGGCTGTGACTGGAGGAGGATGAGCCTGGGCTAGGGCAAGATCATGTCAGAAAACCAAAAGTTAATTAATTAATTAATCAATTAATAGCAGAATGAATTAAAAAATACAAAATTGCATTATGTATGTAATACATATAATGTATACACATTAATTCATAAAACTATATGACAATGAATTAAATAAATACATCAAAGTAAAATTAATTTTTGTTGAGGTAGTAAAAATAAAGGGATAGGCTGGGCGTTGGTGGCGCACGCCTTTAATCCCAGCACTCTGGAGGCAGAGGCAGGCAGATCTCTGTGAGTTCCAGACCAGTCTGGTCTATAGAGTAAGTTCCAGGACAGCCTCCAAAACAATACAGAGAAACCCTGTCTCGAAAAACCAAAAAAATAAAATATAAAAAAATAAAGGGATGGATACCTTTTTGGCCTTTCTATTCACGTGCATGTATAAACACACAAACTCTCACACACACACATGCACACACTCTGAAAATTATGGGCTCAGTGGGCAAAGGCGCTACCTAAGCAAAGCTCACACCCTTCATTCATTCTTTGAATACATGGTAGAAGGGCAGCATTGATCTTGAAAGTTGTCCTCTGACCTCTACATGCATGCAACTAATAATAATAAATAAACAAATAAAAGAGAGAAAATCCTATGTCAAATGGTAGAATGTTCATGGAGTCTTTCTAAACTTGTAATTTAGTAAAACTCAAAATTTGTGCATGATGTCATCAGTTTATATGTAACCGCAAATAAGTCAGAAAAATAAATTCTTTAGAAGACAGTAGTCTCCATTTGTTCTAAGACAAAGTCTTGCTGTGTGGCCCAGTCTCACTGAAAATTCTTGATACCCTGCCTCAGCTTCTCCATATGCCACCATCCTCAGTTTAGCCAGGAAGAGGTGGTGCATGATTTTGGCCCTTGCTTTTAATACCAGCACTCCGGGTCAGAGGCAGGAGGATCTCTGTGGGTTCAAGGCCAGCCTGGCCTACAAAGTGAGTTTCAGAATAGCAGGGCTACACAAAGAGAGACCTTGTCTCAAAAACCAAGCCGAAACAAAAGAAAACAAAGGAAGACACTCCCTTAAATGACAAGATAAATATATAAACATCAGAAGACATAGAAAATAGAAAGACTTTCATTTTCAAAAGAAAAGCCAAATTTTATAGAGAACATTGTGCTATCTTGTTTCTTAATCCAGGTGGTCTGGCTTCATACATTGTATGACCCCTTAAGTTCAAGAAAAGAACAGGATTTCCCACCCTCCCTACTCAGAGATTAAAAAAATTTTTTTTTGTTGCTTTTGTTTTTTAAAACAGGGTTTCTCTTTGTAGCTTTGGAGCCTATCCTGGCACTCTCTCAGTAGACCAGGCTGGCCTTGAACTCCTCTTGCCTCTGCCTTTCGAGTGCTGGAATCAAAGGTGTGTGTCACCAACACCCGGCCAGAGATTAAAATGTTAAATGGGAACAACAAAGCAGAAAAGACATCTGTTTGTTAGACAGGGTCTCTCTACACCGCCCAGATTGGCCTCAGACTCCTGCTGATCCTCCTGCTTTAGCTTCTTGAGCGCTAGAGTTGCACAGAAGCATGTGCCTCTATGTTTGCCTACTAATGAGATTTTTAAATGACAATGACTTTATGATTTCTGGAAAGGAAAAAATTCCTAATATAAGATTTTGATTTAGGAAGGGAATAAAATTAGTGTAAGTAGAAAGCAGTATAATATATTACTTTATATATAGTATACAATGTAATAACAAAATAAAAATAATGTAAATGTAAATACAGTAAAAGTAAAGACTTGGGCCAGGCAGTGGTGGCATACAACTTTAATCCCAGCACTAGAGAGGCAGGTGGATTTCTGTGAGTCACAAAAGTGAGCTCCAGGACAACCAGAACTAAACAGTGAAATCCTGTCTCAAAAATAAATAAATAAATAAATAAATAAATAAATAAATAAATAAATAAAAAGACTTGCTAAAAATTCAGCTGCAAGATTTGCAGAATACATTTGCAATGTATAGATCTAACAAAATGTACCAATACATCTGTGTAAGGAAAAAAATTTTAAAACTTAAAAACAGTATAAGACAATGGACACAATATGATAATGATAAAAATGAGAAAGATTTTTTAAAGCATTTTTGAAAAGAAAGAAGTCTCATGATTTGTAAGATTGACATTATATAACCTCCAACCTGCTGAGTTTTAAACATTTTTTCTTTTTTCTTAAGAGTTTTATACATTTATGCAATGAAATATAACCATGTTAAACACTGAAGTAAGATCATATTACACCCCGTTTCTCCCTTCCAAGTTGCTCCATTAACCTGCTGCATTTAGCTTTAGATATATTCCTAAGAAAAATTATAGCACATAGTACCAAGCCTTGGACAAGAATACTCACTTGTTTGTACAGAAAACCAAAGAAACCATGAATGTACACAAATAAATTGTATACTAAGTAGCAGGGAAAATGAGTTATGTGCTATACTCTTACACAGAGAGTGCTTTTAATTAAAAGAGAATGTCACAAAAGATTAAGTATGAAAAATCTGTAAAACCTGACTAATAGATTATTTAGAGTAAGTATAGACAGGGTAGGATTGAAAGCAAAATGAATTACTTTATAAAAGCTCAGAGCCTCCTTTGTAGTCAGGGAGAAGTCTCATTCCCTGTCCTGGGTGGCCAGTCCCAGGAGTGGAGAGCCCTGAAGATGCAGAGGGGTACTTGGATCCTCAATAAGGTTAGAATGTCTCACTGCTTAAGCTCAGGGTAATTCTATGTTTTATTATTTTTCTTTAGAAACAATGCTTTCATGTAATAGCTTTTTAAGGTCCAAAGGTATTAGGATGAGTTTATCAATCTAGCGGTTCCTTTTAGAGGCCAGGGTAGTTTGGGCTTTAAGAAACAAGGGTGACATTTTCAGACATGGTTGTGTGACGATTCTGAGACTCAGTTGTTTGTCAAATGGAGATAACAATTAACTCACAGTGTGTTTTTAGGATGACATTAAATTATAGTGAGAAAAAAAAAAACCCAGTCCTAGCTTATACAATATAGGTGGCTCATTGTTGAAGCATACTGATAATAAAATGTTCTTTAATAAGCTAAAATAGGAAGCAGGTCTTTGAACTCAAGTGTGCTAGAGGATGTTAAATCACTCCTGAACTAGTCACTCATACACCACTCCCCAGTCTGAGTGCGTTTTACTGAAAGGACTCAAGAGTTCATGGTCTAAACTTTCTCCCCTCCATCTTGCACAGGGCCTTACTTGTAACAAGTTTTGGCCATCATCTCCGGACTGGATATGAAGAAATGCAAGGGTCTTCTGATAGCAGGTGCAGTGGAGCATTCCCTACCAATGGGCACCTACCAGGGAGAGAAGAAAGTGAAGTCAAGCTCAAGGAGGAGCTTCAAGTGCTCAAGTTTGAACGGACACTGCCAAAAGAGAAGCTTGGAATTACTAAGGAGACAGACAGGAGCCCCGCTTCTCCAGAGGCCGGGGCTGCACGCATGCAGGCTACCATGACTTCATTCAATTAAGTCATATCAAAGTGAATTGGTTTGACACCCCCAAAAGGGTAACTTCCACTAGCAAAAGTCATAGTGCTGTATAGAACAAAGAAAAGGTTACTTTGCTAAAAAAAAAAAAAATCTTTTGAATCAAAAGGAGAAGACAGAATTTCCTCCAATCACAAGGAACCAAGAAAAAAATTATCATACTTCCTGGCTGCCCACTCACCTCACCACCCCCTCTCCCGGGTCCCCTTTAGCAGCAGAGAAAGAAATCACAGAAGAGAGAGAGGCACCATACAAGACCGGGTGAGCCAGACTTTCCTTCCCAGTGTGATTCAGCTTAGGCTGGAGGAGGGGCAGGCAGTCAGCTCTTTAACTCTCTGTGCGCCGGCCTGGCTTTCAGTATTAGACATCTGGAGTTTTTGAAAATTAACACTGGAACAAAAGTTACTATCATACTTCATGCCCCCTTCACCCACCCTCAGTCAAAGTTTATTTTAGTCTACTTGAAAAAAAATAAAGAAAAAGAAGAAGGAGAAGAAGAAGAAGAAAGCTATTGGGAAACACTGTTTAGAAATTTAGAAATCAAATCCACATGAAGGCATGTTGTAGTGGTTACCATCACCCATGACTGATTTTACTACAAACGAAGGGAAAAATGTGTTAAGTGGCACTGTATCTCTGTAAATAGGCCTCCTTCCTCTCTCCTTCCAGCATATCTACTTGATCATGCATGACTGCAGCCAGGGTGATGCAATAGCATCGGTGCAGTTGACTTTATCTGGATGGGATGACACAACCTGCGATTGAGGCCGGGAGATAACCAGACTGTGGGGTCCTTTGGGTCTTAGACTAGCGCGGAGAGTTTTTCCACGGGCTCCCAGGGTATCTGAGGTTCCTAAGCCCCCTGGGAGGTCCCCTCCAGTGATTCACAGACCAAATAGGAGCTCTAGGTTGCTGGAATGTTTTGTCCTCCATACACGTTCCACATTTCTGATCTAAGACCCAATGCTACATTTAGTTTCCAGTCCCCTTATCTGCTTTCTGTCACCTGTGAAAGGCTTGGTTTACTTCTGTTCTAGGTTTCCCACCATCACTGTCAGGATGATGGCTGTCTGTTAGGGGACAGCTAATGTGTGAAGTTCACACTTACAGGTATAGTGAAGTCTTCCAGGCCACCAGAGTAAAATCATCACTTTTGTTAAAACCTCAACAGACTCCCTCACCCAGAGGGTGATTTATTCTATCAACAGTGTGGCTGTGAAACTGCTACCTAGGAACATTGTCTAGCATAAAGAGAGAGCCTCAGAAGTCCAGTCTATGTGAATTTCACTATTATTCTCTAAGCACAAGACAGAACATTCTAGAAGGTGTTCCAAATTGCTCACCCTCAGGGTGATAAGGGATCCGAGTTGAAAATTTGGACAGCTGCCATCCTTTGTGCTCAGAACACAGTAGGCAGAAGTTTCAAACTCAGTTGCTGGGCTGTGTCAAGATCCTTAACTGCTGAGGCATCTTGATGGCCCAGGAGTTAGGTTTCCAAATCACAAATTCATATGTTCCCATTCCTTAAATACATTTCACACAAGATCATTGTAAAGTGCCTGAATCTGAACTCTGCTTCCCAAATATGATATGTTTCCCTTTTGAAAAAGAAGATTGGATGTTCAGTGGTGGTGCATGCCTTTAATCACAGCACTTGGGAGGCAGAAGCAAGTGGATCTCTGTGAGTTTGAGGCCAGTCTGGTCTACAGAGTGAGTTCAGGACAGCCAGGGCTACACAGAGAAACCCTGTCTTGAAAAACAAAAACACAAAATGATTTAAAAAAAAAAAAAGAAGTAAAGAAAAAGAAAGTTGGCTTTGTTTCTTAATGTGGATATTTACTTCAAAAAAAAAAAAAGAGGAAGACTTTGGCACACTTATTTTTCCACACAGCACTCTTGGGAACTGGGGCAAATAGACAAGGAGTTCTTCGGATTTAATACTGCATTTAAAAATAGATGTAGGCTTAACTTCATTGCTATTTATAACCAATGCCTTTTCTGGATGCGTGTGCTGGTCACCAAGGGTAAGCTCATTGAAAACATGAAGTCTGGCATTAAGGCTTGGGAGTTCCTTTTATCAAATGTGTCAGCCTTCTCTTTTAGTGTCTCATATTTGGTCTTTTTAAAGAGTCCTTTCTAGGTCGGGCGGTAGTGGTGCACGTCTTTGATCCCAGCACTCGGGAGTCAGAGACAGGTGGATCTCTATGAGTTCCAGACCAGACTGGTCTAAAGAGTGAGTTCCAGGACAGCCTCCAAAGCCACAGAGAAACCCTGTCTCAAAAACCAAAAACCAAACCAAACCAAACAAACAAACAAAAAATCCAGAAGAAAAAAGAGTCCTTTCCACCCTCAAGTCAGAAAAATATCCATCTATATTTTCTTCTAAGGTTTAAATCTTTATTTTTGACATATGATTTCCTTACTTTGTCTAGAATTGAGTTTGTTTTTTTTGTGACCCAGCTCTCCAACTCAATTTTATTTTTAATTAAAATTTATTCCCAGCTGCTCTACTTAGATATCTCTTCCTTTCTCTGCTGCTCAGTTATGTCACCCTATCATAAGAAAAAATTCAACATATACATAAAACATATCAAATAATAGTCTCAGTGATGACCAAGAAATGCAAACCAGGACTAGGGAGATCACACTGGATAGCCACTTAGCTGACCTCTCTACTCTGTTCTATTGGTAACCTCTGTATCCCTGTACTGTAGCCAATTTTATTATTTGCTTATGTCATTCTTGGATAAAGCAATCTTAGCCCTGCTGTAGCATCTTTCCATGCAGACCTAGATTTGCCTCTCTATCTAATAGTTTCTTGTCCATATACCATTGTAATGGCAACCTTGGTCCATGTTTTTTCCATCTCATTCTATTCTTGTCAAACTTAAACACTTTAAAGCTAGCTTTGTTTGTTTGACTAAATAGTCTAAAACAAATCTAGTTGTTGTTTTCTTGTGTTGCTGAGCAAGCCTAGCAGTCCATGATGTTGTCCAAGGGCTGTACCACTGAACTATTCTCCAGCCGTGTGCCTGAATTTGACTGAAACCAGCAAGGAAAAACTGAATCTGTAGAACGGAGAGTGGGGTGCTTCTTCCGTCTCTATGAATTGCAGGGATACTGTAAGGGATAGACACTAAGAAAAACATTTTTAGGTGATTAAAAATATATTATACCCATTGTTACAACCCCCATATTATGAAGGAAAAAAATTACAGAAGATATTGTCAGCCGGGTGGTGGTGGTGCACATCTTTAATCCCAGCACTCGGGGGGCAGAGGTGGGCAGATCTCGAGACCAGCCTGGTCTACAAGAGCTAGTTCTAGGCTAGTTCCAAAGCCATATGGAAATGCTGTCTCAAAAAGAAGAAGAAGAAGGAAAGGGAGAGGGACCTCGTACTGACTTGTGAAGCAACCTTGTTTCTTATCTAAATTTAAAATGGATAATAAAAAAATATTAATAAAAAAAAGAAGAAGAAGAAGAAGAAGAAAAAGAAAAAGAAGAAGAAGAAGAAGAAGAAGAAGAAGAAGAAGAAGAGGAAGAGGAAGAGGAAGAGGAAGAGGAAGAGGAGGAAGAGGAAGAGGAAGAGGAAGAGGAAGAGGAAGAGGAAGAGGAAGAAGAAGAAGAAGAAGAAGAAGAAGAAGAAGAAGAAGAAGAAGAAGAAGAAGAAGAAGAAGAAGAAGAAGAAGAAGAAGGAAGATACTGTTATACATAGGCATACTTTCTTCTGGGGCTTCTGGTCAATGTGTCTAAGACATGTCTTAGACACTTGTGTTTATTTTACTCTGTGTGTGTGGGGGCAGCTTGCATGTAATGCATGCAGAGTTCAGGGAGTTTGTTCTCCCCTTCTACCAAGTGGGTCCTGGAACTGAATCCAGTTCGTCAAGCTTAGCAGCAATTGCTTTTACTAGCTTCACTATCTTTTCATCTGTCTATCCACACACACACACACACGCACGCACACACACACACACACACACACAGACACGCACGGACACGCACACGCACGGACACGCACACGCACGGACACGCACACGCACACACCCCTGTGTGTTCGGGGAAGCACATGTACATTCTATTTACCATTCCTTCACGGCTTTCTTAGCATTCCCTACATCAAATATGCCTCATAACAGGAGTTTGCGTTACTGATTTGTTAAAATTAATCCATACTAAATTCCATGTAGGAGTCAGGAGTGACGGTTATAACCCTAGTACCCTGGAGGCTGAAGCAGATGCCACCCTGGGCTATGTAATGAAACCTTGTCTTATAAAAGTTAAAGTAAACTAAACTAAGATGCAAAACAACAAAAAATCCCTTTAGGTAAAATTTTCACTATATTTCTGGTGAATAAGGTTAATGTTTAAAAACTCAATGGGACAATATGTTAATATGCTTTCACTTCCCGTTATATTTTAGATACCTCTCACCTCTGTTCTTCCTTCATGCTAGTCCCCGTACAGCTGGTATGATCAACCCTCTGACAGGCCCTGTCTTGAGTTGATGCCAAATCCAAGGCTTTGGTATCTGAAGAAGACCCCAGTGTTTTTCTGCTCACTGAGCTGTGCTCTTTATTTTCTGGCTTCCACTGAGAATTTTGGGCTTTTTGTTGTAAGTTCCCACATGAGCTCAGAACTAGGTCGCATGCTGCACTCAGCTTCTAAAGGGCCTCTCAGTATCTGATATTTATTTTCTTATTCTGCTAGTTTGTAGATCAAATCAATGCAATATGTTGATAAGCCAGGCTACTGAGGAGGAGGCAATGGCACTGTCTGGACTTTGATTTTACAATGAAATTGCAAACAGACCCAGTCAGCCCTGCTGAATTGAGACTCACCAATACCCAGATCTGGTTCAGTCTCAAATTGGACCCCATAGACACTGATACCATATGGCGCTTACCATGTCCCTTTGACACTATAACTTTGACAGCTCATCTTCTACTAACTCTGGCTTCCTGTCTGAGCCTGCTGCACCTTGTCAAGATCCTGACTGAGGTTTTGGAGAAGTTTGTTGGGTTCTGACCTTTATAACTTTATCGATCACTAAAGTACCCTTTTTATTTTTTTGGTTTTTTGAGACAGCGTTTCTCTGTGTAGCCTTGGCTGTC